TTTTTTGCTTTTCTCATGTTATTTTTGGGTTCTATTGGGTTGGGTTCTACAACATTTCTAATAAGAAATGAAAAATAGTAATTTGAACCCTACTAATAATTATGAATGAATTATTAATATTTAACATAACAGATAGAAAAGTTTTATTTTCTTTATTAAATAGTTATTCTATTATTTTATCTAAAAACACTACAAGGTGCGGCACATTGGGCTCCAAATTAAAATATACGTGGACAAAATTAAAACATACATATTAATTTTTTATGAATTTGAAAAAATAAAATCTGTTTTCTGTAACTTATAAATTTCTCTCCTCCAATACAAAAGTGATTTACAAATAATTTATTGTATTCATGAGAGAAGCGCGAGAAGTTCAACAAATATTGGATCATATGTAGACCCAAACAAGGACGCGGATGTACCAACATCGGCGTCGACAACAGTATTAGCTACCATTAGAAAACTTAAGGCTTGAGATCCTAATTAGATAGGCGGAAGGTGGTATATAGACAATACCACGCATATCCTGATGGACTCTCATTTTCCACATGGTATAAGGGAACCATACATAAACCGGCCGTGTTGGCTCTATTTCACAGTATAACTTTTACAACCATTGGTCTACAGCCCAATGTGTTTTAATATTTGAATGAAATGTTTATTATTTTATTTAACTTTTTTTTTATACGATATAATTTGACAACTATTGTTGACTTTTGATGGTTTTTGTTGTTGCTTTATAAAAGTTTATTTGTTTGAATTTATTATAACAAAAAATAAGTGATTTTAAACAAATGAAATGAAGTCTAAAAATAAATAATTGTATGTACTTGTAGATATGTATGTATATTAAACAATAAATAAATATAAAAGTTATGACATGAAAATTTGTTTGGAAACAGTCATAAAGTTTAAATAAAATCAGATTAATGGCTGTGAGTTAAAAAAAAAAACGAAAATTTGATTTATAGTTTTAAAAACAAATTTTAACCAAGTACTTTAGTGAAATAAGTATAACCCAGTAAAAACATGGTAATGACTAGTAGTTACTTTTCAAAGATTACTACCTAACGTCCGACTTACTTACAAGAAGTCTGCTAATGTGAATGGACTTAACTTCTTATTAGCATGCGACCGTAGTAAGTACTTCTTTAACTCCTTATTTCTAAGTACTAGATTCCAATATCATCACCTTGTTAGAACAATGATTTAAAATACTATTGTGTAAGTAAATTTTAACCTTTTAACCCCTTACATGGTAATAAAAGTTTTTGTTGGGAAATTAATTAATTTTCTTGCTTTATTGATTTCCAATTCCTTAACATTTTAATTTATTGATAAATAAATCTATTCATATCTGCGATTCTTTAAAAAAAGAACCCCTAATTAATATTTCATTTATAACCACAATAACAAATGATTAATAATATTAAGTTACAACCCCTAGAGTTTTATTGCCAATGATTTACACCCCGCTTTACAGTGTTGCATTTCTTTAATAATCGCCCCTGAAAAGTTGTCATGGCAGCCGCAGTATTTAACATTTCCACAACAAATACCAGCCCCTAATGTGTATTTAAAAAATCATTCCATAACTCAAAAATAACTCATTTTACTAAATGACAAAGTGTCAATAAACAACAATAGTTTTACAGTTTGTCACTTAATGTCAAACGAAATGTGTCTCATAAAACAATTTTTTTGAATAACGAAATTACAGTTGAAAACCGTTATATATTTTAAAAGGGGGCTGTTTATGTTTTTATGAGTTTATTTGTTTACATTAGCACGAAGAGTAAGAGAGAGAATGGAATAGAGTGAAAATTTTGTTTTTTTATCAGCTGTTGTAGAGTGTGGTTCCTTTTGCTGTGTTAATAAATAACACCATAATGCTAGTGTGATATACAATGGGGAAATTTAGCGGTGTTCAGAGATGGGATTTATTAGTTTTTATAATCAGTTTCCCGTACCATGCATCTGATTCAAAATAACAACAAGAATATATTGTTCTACAAATACAGTCGTTCAGAACGATCTCAGATCTCCGTTTAAACCGATAGATCAAAACTATTACGGGTACTGGATTGGAGTTTGGCTTTAGATTCTCGAAATGCCCAATGCCTGCATTATTTGTCACCTACAAATTTACCCAATCGATACGGCTGCGTGAAACTATATCTCGAAAAGTTGATCATTACCATCTACATAGACAGTCTTGCATTTCTCAATGCCAACGCATGCACAATTAACGGATTAATTAACTGTTTCACAAAACGATGTCCGTATTCACTCTCTTGAGCCTTAGTCGAAAATCGTTAAATTTCATAAAGGTGTACTTTCTGTACTTGGACCTATTGCAGAAGTTGTTAAGATGAAGAAGTATCACTAGAACAGCTTTTATGTGATTGCCACGCTCTACAAGAGCGCAGACTGATGTATGTATCTTGGTACAAGTTTCTTTCATGACCTGGCCATTCTCACATTGCCCCAAATAAAGGGGCAATCATTTTCGCGTTATTACAATGACGCAAATAGCCTCCGAGTTTTTGGCTTAATAGCGAGCCTTTCTTTTAACATAACCTTAATTTTTCTTTAACATTTCTATATATCTTACGGCTGTGAAATCCCTAGAGTCGGGAATGGGATTGTCAAAAAATTGCCCTAAAAACCCTACATACACTAAATGAACTTCCCAAGCCTGCATCATTAAATTTGTGGGGCTAAAGACCAGGAATATAAAATGCAAAGCAAAGTTGATATGAGTATTGTATGATTTAAACAGATTTAAACAAATAAAAATTACTAAAACGCGAGTATAGTATAAGAGAAACGAAACATATGTTCTCGGCTTGTTTTTATTTTTACTACATCGAACTTGTCAAATTCGTTTAATAGGGAATGAGTAGCAGTGATGTCAACTAGTTATAAACAAAATGTGCTGTAAAGCGATAAAAAGCACCAAACTACCAAACCGGAGGTGGTGGGTTCGATTTCCACCTGAGGCACTGATTAAGGAGCGTACAACAAGCGCAGTAGAGGCCTTGCTGTAAATCTTCGGATTTTGAAGTATAAACATCCTCCTTTCAAACTAACTAACTAACTAACTACTAACTAACTAACTAACTACTAACTAACTAACTAACTAACTAACTAACTAACTAACTACTAACTAACTACTAACTAACTAACTAACTAACTAACTAACTAACTAACTAACTACTAACTAACTAACTAACTAACTAACTAACTAACTAACTAACTAACTAACTAACTAACTACTAACTAACTAACTAACTAACTAACTAACTAACTAACTAACTAACTAACTAACTAACTAACTACTAACTAACTACTAACTAACTAACTAACTAACTAACTAACTAACTAACTAACTAACTAACTAACTAACTAACTAACTAACTAACTAACTAACTAACTAACTAACTAACTAACTAACTAACTAACTAACTAACTAACTAACTAACTAACTAACTAACTAACTAACTAACTAACTAACTAACTAACTAACTAACTAACTAACTAACTAACTAACTAACTAACTAACTAACTAACTAACTAACTAACTAACTAACTAACTAACTAACTAACTAACTAACTAACTAACTAACTAACTACTAACTAACTAACTAACTAACTAACTAACTAACTAACTAACTACTAACTAACTACTAACTAACTAACTAACTAACTAACTAACTAACTAACTAACTAACTAACTAACTAACTAACTAACTAACTAACTAACTAACTAACTAACTAACTAACTAACTAACTACTAACTAACTAACTAACTAACTACTAACTAACTAACTAACTAACTAACTAACTAACTAACTAACTAACTAACTAACTAACTAACTAACTAACTAACTAACTAACTAACTAACTAACTAACTAACTAACTAACTAACTAACTAACTAACTAACTAACTAACTAACTAACTAACTAACTAACTAACTACTAACTAACTAACTAACTAACTAACTAACTAACTAACTAACTAACTAACTAACTAACTAACTAACTAACTAACTAACTAACTAACTAACTAACTAACTAACTAACTAACTAACTAACTAACTAACTAACTAACTAACTAACTAACTAACTAACTAACTAACTAACTAACTAACTAACTAACACTAACTAACTAACTAACTAACTAACTAACTACTAACTAACTAACTAACTAACTAACTAACTAACTACTAACTAACTAACTAACTAACTAACTAACTAACTAACTAACTAACTAACTAACTAACTAACTAACTAACTACTAACTAACTAACTAACTAACTAACTAACTAACTAACTAACTAACTAACTACTAACTAACTAACTAACTAACTAACTAACTAACTAACTAACTAACTAACTAACTAACTAACTAACTAACTAACTAACTAACTAACTAACTAACTAACTAACTAACTAACTAACTAACTAACTAACTAACTAACTAACTAACTAACTAACTAACTAACTAACTAACTAACTAACTAACTAACTAACTAACTAACTAACTAACTAACTAACTAACTAACTAACTACTAACTAACTAACTAACTAACTAACTAACTAACTAACTAACTAACTAACTAACTAACTAACTAACTTACTAACTAACTAACTAACTAACTAACTAACTAACTAAGTAACTAACTAACTAACTAACTAACTATTTAGAGCGATTTTTCAAAAAAAAAAAAAAAACGCTAACTTACAAAAATGCGTCGTTTGAATTGTGAAAAAGTGCCAAATTGACAACGCTGACGAGCAGAAACACTGTGTCATTAGAGTGTATTTAGGGGAGTACTAAAAATATTAAAAGAAAGAGATTTGTTTACGTATTAAATAGCTCTCTTGCAGTTGTTATTGTTGGGTTTCTTAGTAAAACTAGTGATGTAGTAGTGGTGGTTTTGTGAATTTTTTGTTTTGCTCAAAAAATTCTCCTCTTTGCTGAAAATAATGAAATGAAAACTGCAGCAGTTGCTGCGTGTATGTTCAAATAAACGGAGTGGTGTGGCAACAACCGACGGCAGTTGTTGTTGATGTGAAAAAAATATATTAGAAAAAAAAAAAGAAAGAATTAAAAACCAAGCAAAAAAGGATAAAAAAGTTATTAAAAAAAATAAATTTTATATCTAATGGAAAAGTTTAATAAATTACAAACATTTATAAGAAAATATTAAATGTTTTGAAAGAAATTTAATGCAATAAATGAAAATAAGAAAAAAATTTGAAATTTTCTATATAAAAGTTGCCAGAGTTTAAGGGGGAAAAAAATGTGCAAAAAATCAATGTGACTAAATAAAAGTAGAAAAAAGAGAAAAAAATCCTTGTCTGTTTTTAACCACATGCAAAAAAAGTGAGTGTTGAAAAATTTGCTTATAGAAATTTCAATTGAATTTGTTAAGAAATTGAAAATAAAATGAAATTAAAAGAAATTAATTGTAAATTATAATATTCTGTTTTTAGAAATTTAATATCAAAATTGTACATAAATTTCATTTTTATGCCAATTTTTTTTATAACAAAAAAATTTTGCCTGCCTGACTGTCGGTCAGTTTTGGTTCTTTTTTTGTTTTGTTCTCTTCTTTATTTTACGTTTCCTCCTGCACTAATCCAATTGGATTTGAGTGCATGTGCGAATTAATATGTCTGTGAGTGAGTATGTGAGTGTGTATGCAATCATGTATGAATTAAAATTGTGTTTTTTTTTTTTGCTTACAAACGTGTGTTTTGTTGTTGTTATTGCTGTTATTATTGTTATTGTTTGCTGCTATAGCCGCGCTGCTGTTATAATCATTCTCTGTGCAAAAAGTCAAAACCTAATAGACATCTTTAAATACAACTACAGTGGAACTCGGCTAAAACTAAACTTTAATATTTCGTGACACTATACATATATACAAAAAGTGCTAACTCAGCTTATTTAATTAGTGATTTTTTCCTTTTTTTAATGATTTTTTATAAAGTTTTAAATTGAAAATGATGTTAATCCTATTTTTTCCCTTTGAAAACCCACCACTATCCTCCACCCTGTTTTCAGCAGCTGTTATTTGTTTTAAAACCAATTTTTTAGTTCCTGGGACGTAAAATACACGTTTTCTTCCCTTATTTACGAGAATAAATTAAAATCTATCGCTCATTTACTATAAGACTGGCATAACTCAATAAATATCATTTAGTAAAAATCGGTTTTACTATTTTCTTAAAAAAAAAACTTTAAATATTTGTTATTAGATACCAGATTTAGTCCGTAGATCTATAATATTCTTAAAGGTGGATTTGTCGTACAAGTGTCATAGTGTCTCATTGTCCTATGAAAACATATAGTCTATTTATTAATTTAGCGCAGCCGGTATTCAAAATACCCTAGAATTTAAAACCCCTACGACCGCCCGAGGGCCGTCTATCTAGGACCCTTCTTAAATTAGTCCTAAATGCAGCATATACCAAAGTTTGAAGCAATTTTATTCGGGCTAGGTTAGGTCAGGTTATCAAGGTAGCCAGTGCAGCTTTATTTGGGTCCAAGTTGATCCCTTTGTAAAAATACCTGTAAGAAGAAAAGAAGATGGGGAAAATAGAAAAAGGCAGAGAGAAGAAGTGAAAAAACCGTTGAGGAGAAACACCAGGCCTAATTGTCATTGAGTAAAAAATCGTGACTGCAAAGATTACGTCCTGATTAGTGGGAATACCGAAGTTCACACCAATTCCGATAAATTTATAAACGCGAAAAGACGTTCCAATTGGGGTTTCTGCCAAGGCAGGACAATTAAACCAGAGGTTAAAACTCCTGTTGACGGCCGAGGGACATCTGACCAAGACTATTTTTAAAGAGAAATAAAAACGCAACATAAGCCAATGTTAGGAGCAGTCTCATCCAGAAAAAAATAGTGTTTCATACTGATACATTTCAGCATTAAAAGTGCCACATTGTGACATTTCTAAAAGGGTCACAGCTAATAGATTTTATGTCGTGCCAACATATTGTTTAGTACTCAGTTCCAAAACCCTAAATATTGGTTTGTGACAGTTTAATAGTAAATGAGCGATATGTTTTTAAATGCATTTTACATGTTTTTTTTACTTAATGGCGAGTGACAATGCAATGAAAAAAAGTTCTAAAAATAAAATGACACATTTATAATTTGAATGATTTTTTACCGATAAATGGGTGAAATTCAAGATAAAAGTTTTAAAAGGGAAAATATTCTATTTTTAATAGGTTAGTTTGTTTTGGAAAAATTAATAATAACATAGTGTTTTAAGAGAACTTTCATCAAAACTTTTAAATTTGTGGGATATTAGTCCGTAACGATGAACTAGTGTACAAATTCATGAGATCACTACTTAAAAATATAAATATAATTTACTCAAAAATGGCTTACTGGTACATTTATCTATATCTAGTATATTTATCTTAGATCTAGGACCTGACCTTTTCACGTCGAGAAATGTTCTTTACTGTTTCCCGGGGAACTATCCTTGATCCTTGGCTGATATGTCTATGAGCTCACAGATTTCGATATAACCTTTGTAATCATTTATAAAAATCTCTCTATATATTCCGAACATCTTTGTAAGTTATTATGGTGTTCCATTGGACCTTCGCAATTGTAATTTTATAAGGACTTCAATATTCTCACAAAATATGAGGAGACCAAACTCATCACCAGTAGGAACTACACTGTTAAACTATTGGATCACTCAAATCTCCATAGGCTTCTGGATCTGGCTAGATGAAGTGCTGGTTATCACGTTTTGTTGGACTCATGTCATAGCCTTTTATCTAGTATCGATAAAGGTATTTTTAGACTACAATACTGAGTATTAATACTTGTCAAAAATGTTTGTATCATAATACAATTTACTAGTCTAAATATAATTTGTAATTTGATTTTCAAAAATATTACTGATTTTTTTGGCATACGGTCGGTATTCATAAATTTTTTAAAACAATTCAAAAACTTTTTATTTTCAAACGTATTCGGTATGTATTTTATAAATACAATAAAAAACAAACAAAAAGTGTAAAATACATTAAAAATAAGAACGAAAAGTGCATAAATAATTGAAAATTGGATAAAAAATATTACAAATATTATAGTGTAAACATAAAATGTATTTTTCGGATTGATGTTTTGAAAATGCGAATTATTTTCATAATATTTTTAATTTGAAGTGTGTTAATACTCAGTATTGTAGTCTGAAAATACCTTAAATGGTTGTGGACGAGCGTACCTATTGGAGATGAAGAATGTCTGAGTACTTTACGTGAACACCTGGGTAGACTTGAGAACGCACCTCCGAGTGACTTCAGTGAAGACAGCTTAGGGAAACGAAACCCCAACAAACGCACGTGAGAAAATCCATAATCTCGGTGTTACACCGAAATGGATTATCAGGTGTATATGTTGACATGAGCGACGCCGTAGCGTCCACATCTTCTAGTGATCCACTTTTGCAGATTTCTTGTCTCTTAGTCACCAGACCTGGGCGATTTCCATTAATATTGCATTAACATTAAATTAAAAAAAAAATTAATTTAATCTAAAAAATATTGCATTAACATTAAATTTGTAAAATTTAATGCATTAAATTTCCATTAACATTAAATATTTTTGAATTTAATGCATTAATTTTACATTAACATTAAATATTTTTGAAATTAATGCATTAATTTTGCATTAATATTAAATATATGTGAATTTAATGCATTAATTTAACATTAACATTAAATAAGCAATAAAATTAATGCATTAATTTCCATTAACATTAATATATATCAAAATTGATAAACACAAATAAAAATATAGTACAAAAGACCTCGATCAAACTAAATACAACTAAAATTAAATAGGTTAAAGTCCTTTCTAATAACTCCTATATTCCATTCAAACTTGTGTATCTTAAATATGATATTTATATAAGATTCCACAGACAAAAACTATAAAAGGAATATCTGGGAAGTGATACTATTCTTCTAATATGTATTATCGAGTATAGGGCTTATTAGGAAGGACTTTAACAAAATAAACTAAAAAAGGAATATCTGGGAAGTGATACTATTCTTCTAATATGTATTATCGAGTATAGGACTTATTAGAAAGGACTTTAAAACATTCAATTTTACTTGAATTTAGTTAGACCGAGGTCTTTAGCGATGTATTTTTATTTTTATAAATTATTTTATACATTAATGTTAATGGAAAATTAATGCATTAATTTTATTATTTATTATTTAATGCTAATGGAAAATTAATGCATTAAATTCAAAAATATTTAATGTTAATGTAAAATTAAAGCATTAATTTCACAAATATTTAATGTTAATGTAAAATTAATGCATTAAATTTAAAAATATTTAATGTTAATGAAAATTTAATGCATTAAATGTACCCATGTTAATGTTAATGCAATAAACTTGCATTAACATTAATTTTTTTTAATGTAGAAAAATTTGTTAATGCATTAACACATTTAATGCATTTATCCCAGGTCTGTTAGTCACACAACCATATCACAAGGATTTGTTGCCTCGGCAACAGCACCTACATACATATATGGTAGTACGAAATACGCAGCCAATAGATCAGGATCCCTTTGTATGTCGAGATAATGTGACAAAGGATGTAGGAATTTCCAAAGTGAACTGATTGGAGAGCCTCAACCATTAATCGGGTAGGATGTAACAATATGCATCCTGTTGAGATGGCAACAGCACCGAGAACTTTCCATTAGTAAAAGGTATACTAAATCAGTACTAGTCTCCCAGTACAGCATGGGAGTCTTTCCCGAGCTATCACCAACTTCCATCAAATCATATAGAACGATCTATGAAGTCTTTCCCGATCTCTCACCAACTTCCCTCAGTTTCATTCTCAGATCATAAAGAACGATCATAGGAATGACAGGCAACTACCGAATATCAACCTGAAAGTTTCCTAACCTATACTGGCTCATACTACGCGAAGACAAAGAGATATTCAACGGGTTCAGGAATCCAGCATAAGTTGTTTTATCATATCACCCAGTGACATCTGCTGAGATGGCAACAGCACCGGAGGGAGAATATACGGTATTTGGATATATATATCAGTACTTAAATCAACATTCTCTCCCCGCGATTTTGGGTATTAAACAGTCACTACATGGATCCCGATGGAACTTCAATCAATTGACCAACCAGGACAAAGTCCAGGCCACCCGTAGTACTAGATTATCTAGCGCTCTGGTTTGACCCCATGTCAAATCAATCCAAGGAAAGCCATAGGATACATTTGATCATCACCAGTTTATATTCCCGGAAGTCTAGAGGTACCAATACCTCTATACCAAGATGGGATATATCATCAAGGAAAC